TATATATAGTATAGCGATATTACGGTTCGAGCTTTCTACTGTTAGTCAATACGAGAGCACCGGCTTATGATAGATAACAAAATGTTTTTAAATAGCCAAACGTTGTACGCTGATCACTTCGCTCAAAAAACCGCCGTCCTAGTCCAAAACAAGGATGTGACGAACCTGATAAAGAAAAAATTCTCCACAGCCAAAAATCCGTTGGCAACCAACTGAAATGGCATTGAGTTCATGGCTCCGATGAGAAAAGCCAGGTTACCTGTAACAATGTAACTTTATTCGAATACCTCCTTTCAACATGCAGTTTTTCTTGTACGGGTTCTACTTCCATGTGGGTTGACTAATAAACGTCAGATTTGACGTAATTTATCAAATTTACAGCATATAGGACCTGCTAATTGACTCGACCAAAGTAGAGTAAACCTAAGAATTGTCCGTTAATCTGTAAACGGGTCATTGCTCCGTATTGCTGTTTCATAGAGATAAACATTGAAGTCCGGCTTCCGACCCTTTCTAACGGACTTTGCCACCTAATTATGCTAGATAATGCATTTATCGGCTTCGTCACTTATTCTGCCTTATTTTAGTACTAAACAAAAATAGCCCTCTATACACAAGCAAAGAGCAAGCTTTAAAAACGACTTTTGTAATGAGAAATCACAGCAACGCCCCGATACGCTAACCATTGTCTTCTGGCACTCTGTCAGGCAAAAACCACATTGCCGACAAGAAACTAGAATTGCAGGTGTATCTAACGCTCATCAGATTTAGCCCAACACCGGCGACATAATCAGGTTTGGTCACCGTCACCGATTCCCGAAAACACCGAACAGAATGACAGACAACTTTGCAAGCGCCCACTAAATTTAGCATATAGTAATTTTCACGATTCTGTAAAGTTCCTTTCCCCATGCCGAGCCTGCAATCTACGCACTAGTGGCTCGCAGATGCGCGTTACTTAGAGCTTGACAAAACAGGACACCGACAGCGTTAGGTATTGCATTACGGTAGGGGCAACATATGACTCCAGCACCCCCGTACGATATGCAGGGGAAACTCGAAATATACTGTTAGAGAACGTACGTTATTTTACGGGCTCGCAAATGTTATTTAAAGTTTCCTAGCAAAACAACAGTGAAAATAAGGAAAGTACCAACAACGAAAGCACAACAGAAACAATTGGCCCCTCTACTGTCCAACACGTAAATTTTGTTTTTAAACTGGCGTCAAACAACGGCAACAAATATGGAGAACAATGGATTTGGTTTTTTTAACAATAGTTTCAGTAGCGACACGCTTCGACACAACGCGCAGTGGAGAGCGCAATGCAAGATGGTAAATTAAAAACGCTCTATATGAACACATACAGAATACGGACGTTTTATCTTTTCGAGACAAAATGCTAAGTTATACAATAACAATAACTAACGAGTGAACTTTTACGTAAGTTCAGCGATCTGTTGGCGCCTACGTTAACAATCGCTAGAGAGGCGAATGCGTTAGTTATTATAGTCCAAGTCTGGCGCGCAACTGTTTTCAAAACACGTTATTATTACGAACGTTTCACAACGATGGCTGAATTTTACTTCTAAGAGCGTCTACATAGACAATGCACCGTATTTTGGTCGAAAAGGGCGCTTTTACCCGACTGACGTTGATCCTGAAGATAATAATCTATGCCTATCTATGACTGGAGAAACTTCTCAGCTTCTATTTATATGTGCTCCTTTGTGTCTGATGGATACAGGCTCAGTAATACTCTTAGACATTATTTTCCTACAAGCATTGGATCTGTACATATTTTTTTATGCTAGATAGACATCTAATGGAACTGCTTTTCCTTGTGAAATAAAAGCTGGGTATTTATACAGCATAATTACGACTTGTAAAATGTACCTCTAATGAACTAAATGCGTAGACTCAGGTCTCTTAGTTCCGTGCGCAGGAAAAATTTCATCTGACTGGGTCAGTCGTTAGCGTTGTCGTTAATATTTGGAACAGAGGGCAGCTGTCCACATGGAATAAGTGTCGGAAAAAAATGTAGACTCAACAGTTATTTTATAGAACTTATCTGTCCTTCTGTTGGTCGGATATTTTAAACTTACACAGAAAACACAGTATAATGCTATGTTAAGCGCTCCACGTCATTAGCTGTAAAGGTAAGCTCAATGTCGATACCCAATTGTCTTCATCATTGGCAAAATGTCAACGAAGCCAGTATGAAAACATTAAGAACATTCGCTACTCTTGTAGCACTCCCTGCCATGACAAATCCAACTGACTGTAAATATCCAGAGCTAGAACAGTTGCACCATACTACCGTTCACAACAAAAACAATAACATTCGAAGCTAAAAGTTTCACCGTAACTGGCCAGCTAACTGATGAAGTTCCGATAGATGTACTGATGCCGATATCCTCAGCGCAATGAACAAGCTATAATAGGTAAATAAAATAAATTTGTCCTATAATAACTACATACAGTGAACACCTCTATGCTATCGGTCAATATGCGACGAGTCAAGATAATCCAGAACGGCCTTGGAAACTTAGATCCAACAAACACTTGGCCTGAATCCTAATTGTGCGATAAAGCAAAGGTTGTTAGACCAACGAAAACGAGTGGGCTCCGATGCCGCTGAAAGGATTACTGACCACTAGACCAAAGTCAAAAGGTTAAAGGGCTGTACGTAATTTTCTTATTCGACCCAAGTGTTCTAACTGAAAAAGTGTTATCTTTGCCGCTTTTGAAATGTATCTAAAAGCGCATAACTACACAGTAAACAGGATGCTTAGATATAACTGGCCGCTTCCGGATTCGATCAGCTCTAGCTTAATCTAACATTCTTACGCATTGATCTGAAGTCGAGATATCGATAGGTCTGGCACAAGACAACCCACAAAAGTGACATCACCCGAAGCCCATGCAGGCATCGAAGAGCACATGGACCTGTTGAGCTCGTTGAAAGCAATAGGCGCAGATTCTGCTTAAGGTCGAATGCCATAATTGCACCTTGAAGGAGATTCAAAACATAACAACCATATGATTTATATATAAAGCTAACTGCAAAATGTAAAAACATTAAATATGCTAATAACTCAATAAAATAACACATTTAATATTATTAGCGCTCGCTTGTTTTTCCGTTTAGTTATGTGTGCAAACATACTCTTGTTAGTTCCTTGGTTTTTTTTTTCATTAATTGCAGAGTTCCATATCTGGGTAAGTTTTAGCCATCTGTCCACTGCTCCTAGCACAGAATTTCGATTGATACCCCAAAAAGAAAGTCACTCCAAGATACACTCTTACAACCTTGTAACTTTGAAATTAGCCGCGTTGAACTCATAGGCTGTTGACATGTAATTTTCAATTCGTAACAACGGTACCAGGATATTAGCAGCCCTCAACGAATTTTCCCGATCATTATTCCAAGTGGAGTTGCGCAAAAACCGTTTCAAGGCCACTGTTTTTAATGCTTCTATGGCTAAGGGAAGGGCCTTAAAATAAAGCTCATAAATAGTAATAACAGCCATTTACCTTTTGCGTGTTTTTTTAGTATAAACATTTTTTCCGGATAAGTCCCGCGCCTCGGCGTAGACCTGAGCAATATGTAGAGACTTGTAAAGAAACGTATTCCACATTTTAGCTTTGCGCTCGATTAATCTCATGAGCCTGAACATATACGTAAAGTGAGGCAAAAGTAATTAATAATATACGAATACAATAGTTAGTCGAAGCTATCCCGATATAACATCTCTGATCATTTAAAAAAATTACCCATTACATATGTTTAGTACTGAGGGATATCGCCATGGGGTCATGATGTTAGAAGTTATTCGGCAGAGTTTCGTTTCTGATCGAAAACCTACAAAAATGGATATTGCAAGAAGTCTCTCAGGCGCCCTATTCCAGTTAGCGGATTTTGTAGAATTTTGAATCTCTCGTGCATTTTACTGTCCAGTTATTAATGTCATCTCCAGGAACGTATATCTGCGTAAAATGTTCACTAGATTTTGTTACCCATGCGTAATAGGAACAAGAACGTCTAGTTGTGTCTCTATCATCAGCTGTCTGGCATGAATCCTCTATCCCTTCAAAGTTCGTATGCTGTGCCCGGCTTGATGAACTAGACAGTTTCCTAGTATAGTACGTTAAGTGTCCAGCTATGAGACGCCCTGGCATACCAGTTCACTTATACAGTCCGAGAACTAATCCCCAATATGGATCAGCCAAGAGTTTCAGCTAAGCATGCTGAAAAAGCAAACCGGAAACTTCAGTAGCTTTACGAAATAGCAATAGATCTGCGACAACTGTGTGTGTATATGCCATTCATTTCAGCTCAATAACATAAACGTCAATCTATATCTATCTATAAACGAGTGTATTAACGAGAAAGTGCAACGCTTCCAAGTAACATTTTCAGTGAAGCGCTCAAGAAAAACATCCTCTGTACGTTACATAGATACGTGTAGTCATTTGCAGTAAATAACGCTAAATTTAAAGTTAAAAAAACTCACGCTTAACTTGCATTTTTATACATATGCTGGTCACGCCACAGCGGACGCATTATGCGTGCTAGTTAAGCAAAAATGCAAATTAGGCATAGGTTTTTTTTTTCTCAAATAAGCCTTTCCTGCGCTTTTTTTATTTGAGAATTAGACAAAACCGCAGTCTCAAGCAGTTAACAATATGTAGCGCCACTAGACGTACAAGTGCGCACCGTGGATGTTACTACGACACTTCCTGGCAGTCATATTTCCAAATAAAAGACCCTTCTGTGTCGCGGGCAGTACAATCGCGGACTTCTCAAATTATAGGAATTGCTGAGCGTAAGCCCATGCAAAAAAGCTTCAAGCTGAAGTCGCTGTTCATATGCCGACATCACTTCTATGCTAGCATTACGAAAAAATCTCTTTATTGTCAAGCTACAGACTGGAGACCTTATATATATATCTCTGCAGTCACATGCAGCCTTAGGGTACCTTTGATTGCTCGACTACTCGCTTCCCTTTCTCCTTATTAGTTTTTCTGGTTCATCAAAAAAAACACGTCGTGCCGTTTGTAAATTGTCCCACAGCAACAAGCCAGGTCGCTGTAGATTAAGGGCAAAACACTAGGCTTGTTTGTCAATCACGGTCAATTGAAATTACGCGGGCTCGATCTAACATCCGGATGGGGAAAGTGTGAAAAAGAAAAGTCTCTCAGGTAAGGGAAAAAATAACCGGAAGAATAAATCTATTAACCTATAGGCGTGGTAGTGATTTTTTGTTTTATAGAAAACTACTTAAGTGAGTTAAATTATAAACAGATCCTGGCATAAGATATTTATGGTGGTAGTTATTGTGTAGTAACAACTCGTTCCTTATCTCATTTACGGCAGATACCGAAATTTATACGCGTAGTATTTGTTACCACAATGTTGAACAAGGATCGAGGTCGAAACTAAAAATATGATTTTATATACATTTTCTCTAGAGGTAAATCGAGCGCCGTAGCGGCGGAGCGGACAGTGGATCGGAATCGCAACGATGGGATTTTCGGCTCGATTCCTAGCAGAGAAAATATTGAGTTCTTAATTTTAGCCATAAAATGTTTGACCAGCATCACTATTAGTAAACTCCCTGTTCGTCATGTACTCAAAGCTGGTTGCCACCGTGCCACATTGCCGCCCATTGCGGATGAATTTGTGCTGAAAGCTCTGAGCTACCATGAAAAAATTGCAGGAAAGCTTTTACAAACGTTCACTTATCCAACAAAAGACCTACAAACGGTCACTTGTAAAAAGTTGTTGCTAACCTTTTGGACATTGCCCACGCAGAGACTTCGGCAGGCCCTGGATAGTCGTACCCATCGCTACCAGAAATACTGAGAGGGTCAAGCAACACCTAAAAAAAAATAACATAGTGACCTTAACCACGTCACTACTCTCGTAAACTAAATTTAATTAATAATAAAATAACAAGTCGACAACATTATAATAATTCTATTACACGGATATATGCGTAACCTTATGAGCAGTATTGGAATATGTTACAGTATCATAACTCGAAACCTGTGTCTAAACGATGAATTATAGACAAATCGAATTTACATACACATAAATGCGTAGCCAAAAGAGATGCTCTAAGAATCAACGTTTTGTTTAAAGTATGTTTATATATGCTAGAAAATCTATTCTTATTTTTAATCATTTTTTAGAATTGAAGATATCAGTTCAGTACCTTTACGCTTTTTGAAAGCTTACGTATATTAACGCCAATATACGATTTTTCAGTAAATAAGTATTAAAAATAGCTTCAGCCACAATTTGCGGAAGATAATAGAGATATATAAGCTAACATTTGCTCAGTATAATGAATGAGAATAATTATCGCCAAGGAAGAAGAACTGTACGGCAAAGACTCATGTCCTAAAACCTAACCCGAGGCGCTTGCCACGATTCACTAACCTCCTAGTATATACGATTTACAGTCACCCATCTAGTTGTTGTAGATTTATACGAAATAGTGATAAACTACTGATGATAAAAAGAAAAATTAGCTATTCAATAGAAATTGAGAAAGGATGCTTCTCTTGTAACAAAAAGCTTAGTTCGCAAACACTTAGTTCCGATCTACCCTGAACCTTCTAGGCAAAGTGGATCAAAGCGGGCAGAAACTGCAACAATGTTCCCTTTACACAACTCTAGTCGTTATCCAAGATTCTGATATAAAGACCCATTCGTATTCTTGCTAATTATGATCAATAACTATAATGGTCTGAAATAAGTTTCGATCGTGGCTTAGTTGCAGTACGGTTTTCCTTCAAAAACAACAAACCTATACAATAACGAGTACGATATATCTACTTACGGTGTCCTGATTCATTTATCCTTAAAAGCACAGTGATTTACAATCACAAGACAAATCAGCGTAGCAACAGTTTACTTTTAGCTTCTTTTGGAAAACGAAGCTGCGCCACTAATAATGGTCATCTCTATTTAGCTATTGTACAACAGATATTCGACGAAATGCGCAATATACTATAATGTACAAAGTACGATATCTGAGTTGAGACTAATCACGGAGGCCTGTTTGTCGTAATGGGCAGGTGTTCATTTAGCATTACTGCCACTGGAAGGAAGCCTATTTTTTTCCTATTCTTCAAACACAGCAACAACAACAACAACAAACGCATCATTCTTTTCAGAAATCTAGCAATTCAGTGTCTTCGCGCGCTGGACAAGCCTCTACCAAGATGAAGAACTTTCTTTTTGGCCATATATAATCGGCTATATATATTATTGCTAGCTGCACACGGCTGCGAAAAAATCCAAGCAAGATCTCCATCAAACACTCATCAGATTCAAATACTCATCAGGAGGCCATGTTTGATACACGTGCATCTTCGACGCAGAAACTAGGGGCCGTTTAAAGGAAAATACTAACTGTCAATTGGTCATTCAAATGAGCTCAAGGAATCGGTATTTTTGAGATTATTTGCGTTTCTTTTTCAATTTTTTGCCCTCTAAGGACTTTTGACCTGCGGTCAGTTGAAAATTCAATTCCCTCTAGAATTTTTTTTGTATAGCGATAGTTTAGAGTACAGGATAGTTTAGGACACCTACTAAAAATACCGTTTGGTTTGTACTAAAATTATCTACGGAATAAAAAAGAATATTTTGAAATAAACGAGTGAGTTTTTGGGACTCTAGTTAAAGGTGCAATCGCGCTACATGCCAGTTTCGGCGTTTATAGCAGATATTCGTTGAATGTCTGTTTTTATTTAGATACAGTTTTACTACAAACGAATCCCAATTTAGGTGGTTCAAAGCACTTAATTTTTTTTCAAGTTCGGTCCAAAAAGATCCAGCAAATTCAACTTCACCAAATGTTTAACAATGCAATTTTTTGAAAATTAAATATTTACTGTTAAGAAGCAAAGTTAGGTGACTAATCCCTTGCCACTATGCTATCGCACATAACAGCAGTGTCCTTGCTTTACGGCCTAACATTTCGATCAACACAGCAACGCGAAGGTCAAAAAGAGAACTTACACGACGCAAAATTGCTGAGTATCAAGTTGTAGGGGAGTATCAAGCGATTCACAGCCAAGAACGTCGATTCGCACACCCAAACTGTCGGCTAAGGGTTGCAGCATTCGAAATACGTCGGTAGCACTGCATTTCGATGGTGCACAGACGCCCATACGTAGCTCGAATTCTTGATGAACCTTGTAGTAGGTGAGAAGAACCTCTTTGTAGACCTATACACACAAAATAGGAGACAGGATTAGCAGCGTTATGGCATACGGTAGCTGTAAATTGCGCACGTAGACGTCCTCTATCCTGTGTTTTTACGAGCCAAAACGTGGCTAGAGTGAACCGCTAGCATCACTTGTCAACCCAGAAAATCAATGTTGCAAGTAAATAACTAAATTACGCTAGTTCCGTTGAGGACTTCTTGTAGTTTATGAGCAGAGTTCGTAGATAGCGGCGGGAAAGCGGGAGGCCGGATGGCGATGTTGCAGTGTTGACCACGGAAATCGATGGGTCCATCAGCTTCGTACGAAGTCACCGCTAGACATTGATCATAGTCACCATAATCGCTCATCGTTACGTCCATGATACCCGCAGCAGGACGACCGATAGAGTCCAAGACTGTACGTAGTATAAGTGCAAAAAACACCAATAGATAATACTAAGTAGATGCAGAATAATTATTCCACTAACAAAACGGTAGAGCAGAGTAATACGTCAGTTGACAATGGCCCTTAGCCCAATAATTATAAACCCATTAATGGACCTAACCCCTGCGAATTCAAAAAAAAAACGTAACAAGTATCATAAAAAATGTTTTGCTCGCCTATGATTTTATAGTAATAAAGCGTAATAAAAATGTATGCTTCTAAATTAATACTAAATAGTAGCAGAGTACCGGCCCTGTAATGGTGTGCTACACAGGGGCTGCCCGTTCACTAAAAAGGCTGGATGGCAATCGTAGCTTCTGAGATTATTCCAACTAAAAATTTCGCGATTACCATATTTAACAAATAAAGAAGGACTGCATATATATATATATATATATATATATATAGAAGGTATATACCGCATTTTTTCGTTCAGTCAGAATGCCTTGGAATGAGCATAAAATAATGGTTCAGTAATATGTAAATGCGTTGCGACCGCACCAAATAGCATATAGTAGCTTTATCAAACAGTACATTATAATAGTACTATACTATATAAAGTCACTGTTCATATGGTCCGCACTCGGTTTACAACACACAACATTATATCTTGCAGCTAACTCAATGTTCAGTCTCAATGATGAACAATAGACATCTCTAATCTACCTAAGAGCTTTTTTCTTGAAAAAAAAATCATTTAAGCTTCTTCTAAATTGCGCGAGTAGCAGATTACTCTTATCTTTTCACGGAAAAGCACTACCAATGATAATAGCCGTATTTCGAGCAATTCTAATTCAGTATTACACAAATCAGGTCCGATGACAGGGCATCCACACCAGGACATCAGGAGTTTTTATTATTAGAAATTACGGCAAATTTAAGGGTTTTGTCAGGTCGGAGGAGGAGAAGGTGATTCCATTGCGCTGGTTGCGCTAGTGTCTACCTCTAATGTAGGTAACCCAAACAGCGTTACTGACAACGGAGCGACTGGCTCCACGATGGGCCATAACATTTCATCCATAGCCGTGTTTGGTACAGCGATAAGTATTTGAAACTTGGACGTGGACTCTGGCGCTTCCGCAGTCATTTCTGGGTCAACGAGGGGTATTCTTGGCTCCAAAATATACAGATACGGAGGTTCGACTCTTAGCAGTCGAGGATCCACCAGGGGCTCTTGTTGATCTATGATGGAAATCGTTTGCGGCTCAGAAAATTGCGGTCGGATATCGGACGGCCTTGAAGTTGTTGGAACCATTTCTGTTTCGACAGTGGGCAACATAATCTCAATGTAGTGCCCTTCTACCTCAATGCTGGGCGCCTCCGTCTCAACAACAGGCATGTCGGGCCTATTAATAGAAACGTTGGGGTTATTAAGAGGCGTCTCTGATAGGCCACAGTTGCTTGCTATACTATGGAACGATCGTGCTTTATTACTGGCTCAACGCGGCACCACTGGTATCGGTGACGCTGTTTATGGTTTATAGGACAGGATGAAAAACGCTATGATTCGACGAACTAATGCATATGGACCCGACCGTTTCATTGCGTGGTGAACTTCTTAGCCCTGAAGCCGTTCAGTACCAAAGTCGGTCATTTCAATCAGATTGCTCTTATCAACCAGTTGATTTTCTCAAACCGTTTTTCCTATTCTTGTATCTGCGACTCCTGCATTGGAAAAAGTCTATTATATATGTATAAATGTATAGTAGTAACATCAATGCGAAGACCGACCACAGCTGTGCTATACCTATTTCGCTGCGATCGCTAACGCAATTCTCATCCACTAGGATAAGATGGCCAACATTCAAGGGCGAACTTCTCAAAAATTAGAGGGAACGCCGATTGCCCGACTGATAAGGTCATCTCATCCATGTCATGACAAGCGATGGTGATTAGTACTAATGATGATAATTAGCATTGTTACATTACTTCATGAAGCATTACTGAAGCATTTGAAGCATTACTTCATTTAGTGGGCAAAGCTTCAAAGAATGTGCCGAAAGGAAGATCTCGGCTTGTTACGCCCGATATAATGCAGTGTACGCGGGATCGTACTGAGTAAATGCTTAGAATAGATCAATTATACTCAAGAGGTTCCTATAGTGTCTTAACGCTTTCCACCGCGCTTCAAAAGGGGGAGAAAAACATTAAAGATCTAGCTAACTAAGTCCCATTTTTCGATTTACAACTACAAACTACGAGTAAAAACTAGCTTGAGGGCATTTACGCCAGCAATACCCCTCGTAGGCAACCACGTTATTGAACTATAAGAGAAAATCAGCGTGACTGCTGTGTCCTTTAATGTATTATTATGCTTCAAGTCAGATGATAGGAAAAAAACCCCCGATCCACTCGAGCCATGCACCTGAATATGGCGAATAGCTACGAAACTTGACTACTAATTTATCGTGCGAGAGGAAGTTGATTAACACGAAATTGTCACTAATAGAAATGAATAGAGAAACATTTGTCGTGCTCCTACAAAGGATCTATATCCTAAATACAACGGAAGACAAAACAAATTGCCATTCGTATAATTCCTAGTCTACAGTTCGTCCTTACCGAATCATGACGGAGCAGAGTCTTAAAAATGATTTTAGACCTATATCTGTTTTTTTTTTTCGCTATACCAACGAAAAAAAAAAAGCTTGATGGAACGCAAAAGATCAGGCCTAGGCGTAGTCGAGCAAACAAAGCGTGCAGAAGATTGTCGTTAGCTTCTACAATAGTGTCATCATTTCGATGCGAGTAGTAGAATTAGGGTCTTCATTGCGTCGCATGCGTCTTAGCAGTCAGGTATGATACTGTACGAGTTATTGTAATTGCAGTCTTCACGGCTTACCAAGTGTTAATTGTTTATAGCAAGCCACTCCGGCAATTTTAAATGCCAGCTTATATAGTTTCGAACAAAAGAGGAGCATTATTAAAAAAAGAGCTTTTTTTGTATGTATTTGCTACACTAAGAAGACCAATTAGCCTACAGAGACTAGTTACCCAACTGAATCGCTATTTTTTGCAGTAAGTATCATGTGCTCTAGCGACAAAATATGTTTAAGGAACAACTATATATAGGAACCTAATGCAATTTAACGTGTAAAATTACCTATTTTAAACCCTATATAAACTTTATTTACTGAAGAGAGGTATCTGCATGCATACAGTAACTAAAAATGTCTACAGTAACCCTTCACATGTCCCACCCTTTCGGATTCAGCGCCTTGCCATATTTCTTATACCTAGGAGGTATAGTAGGACATTTGTTTCATTGTGGACCTAAAGCATTTGAAATGTAAATCGCTCAGACAGATCAACAAGCTGCGCGGAGGCACAGGCCATTCGAGGAGACCAAGATACAAGACAGGGTTAACGCTACTACGTTGAGGGAACCTTTACGCCATGACATAGCGCCAACCATGGTTATTCGTGCTCAGAACTTTTATTGAAAGGATGAAGGTTTTAATGATCAGTGAGTTCAATTTTAAAAAATATGAAATTTTGCGCCGCTCGATTTATGCAGCTCTGTGCCCGTCTTAAGGCTCGAAACTGTTCCATTTATTCGGTGATATATGATATAGTAGCACACATTTTCACCAAAGCAGAAGAGTTGTGATTGGTTGCGCTTTATGCAGTCGTACCTTTTTGCGCATTTCCTTTTTTTTTCATCATTCTATCAGAACTCGTTAACGATGCAATGACTAAGCGACATATTAACGTCGCGTATTTTCCACAGTTTTTCCTTGCATTTGTGAGCCGTAACGATTGCGTCTGTTAGAGAAACGTCACGTTCTCTTTTTGTCACTGACGTTGTCTGCGATACGTCGTCAGAGCTAGATATTAGTGGGTAATTTTAAGGACGATACGTCGACTTCGTTCGTTTATGTTGGTCCCTGTACACATGCTTGATATATGTTCGTATCAGAGTTCGAACGCCTCAAGGCGTAAAAAAGGCCTGATGCCCCGTTACTCGTACGAACGCGTCATATGGAGTGACACACAGCTTTACATACACAACTAGCCAATGGCTGGAGAAAATCGCTAACATTTGTAGTAAACGTTACACTTCGCTTCTAACACCTCATGCGATACTCGAGAAAATAATGCATTATCGCAAAAAAAAGGCCGCCATTGTTTTTTTTTTGCTTATACCTTTGAAAAACATAACAGCTTGCAGTTTCTGTTTGGAACTATTCCAAAAACTATGTACGTCTATAAGTTTGGCTGGATAGAACGAACATATTATACTAGAGACGTGCTTCTCTATGTGCTTTATCAGCGTGCTTGAGCGTATCTATCAACTAAGAAAATTAGCTGTTGGTAAATTTAGGCGTGGGCAACATCAGACAATAATACTTTTTATGTTGCGCCGCTTTGCGCGTATGTACGAATTAAAATACAAAAAAAAAACGAGAGTTTTTTTTTGTATTTTAATTTTAATTTTATTCTCATCAAACGATATACAAAGTAAAGCACTAAGGAGCAAAATGTAACATCAAGATAAAAGAAATTTATTATCAATAGAACTACTCAATTATATCATGTTAAAAAAGTAACGCGATTCAATAAATTTTGTATTGCGAACGTAAGGAATAACAAGCAGATTGTCCCACGTGTAGCGCCATCACATGACTCGTCGTACCTAAACCCTAATGTGTTAGGATTTAAAAATTATACGCTAATTAAAAAACAGACGAAAAATGCCAGTATTGGTAATGCATAATGTTTTTTTCGTTTGTAGTGAACAGCTTCCTTCTTTGAGTTACTGTTATAAACCTGAGAGCTTTTTCACTTGAAAAATTTCGTTTCTACATTCAGAAATAACCCTTTCGGTAAATATAAATCCTTTGCGTAAACCCTTACGTATTATTCATTATCTACATATATAGTGTTTTTTTTGACATACGCCAAATGATAAACGAGAAACTCTTCCCGATTACTCAACACAAGATTACCAGACCTGACGAATCCGATTCTGATAAACTAACTAAGCTTTATATTAGACTGGGAAGAACAGCCTTTCCCCTTACGACGAGGCCGGCTTGATTTTTCAGGTTACCAGTCTGCTCACAAAAAAAAGCACGGCTATACAGTCACCTCTGCTTCCTTTTTCTATTACAAGTTCTGTAAAACGTTAAAAACGTTTAAATCCTCACGCTACCGCTTTACGGTTCTGTCAGCTTGACAAGGCCGGTTTGATTTCAAAATTAGAGAAGCTTTAGGAAAATACTATTTTGTGCACTAAGTAATACCAGTTACGATGAATAATTGCTATGGCTTCAATGTAATGACTTCATTGAACCGTTTTTTCAGTTTAAACCCCCTTAAACAACTATCATACTTTATTTGCATAACGAAAGCACTCCCGTTAACACGCTTATAAATACTCTTAATGTCTCTTTAAGCTACGTAGTTGGTCTGCTGACAGGATCTACAGGCACAGAGTTTATTCTAACAATCTTTGAATGCACCTGCTTAACGACATACACTGATCGCTGATTTTACTAATACTGTTGTTGTTTGATCTTTGAAAGTTTAGCTGATTAGTAGCTCGCAGTAGGAGAAGTGCATTACTCAGTAAATTATATATTCATAAAGCAGCTTTTACACCGATCTCTGCAAGACGCCTTAGAAAATCACTAGACCATATCAAATCGATGAACAAGCACACTTACGTTGAAAGGCCCAGGTGTCTAACGTCTTTAGACCACGTACCACTCTCAAAAGGCTTCTTATACAATCCACCTGGAGATCAGTATTAGCTACCTCTAGCACATACGGTAAAAACTGCCTAAGTAGATGATCTACGTGTATCTGAAGGGCTGCATCATATTTAGCCCATAGTTCAGCGATGTTGGCCGTAATCTCTTCGTGGAGTTCATCATCACTTTTGTCCATTGGGTTCGGAACATGATTTTTCAAAATTTTGTGTATAAGAGCCACTTTATGCTGCAGAGCTTCGATGTTCGCGTCCATTGCTTGAAAGCCACTAATCAATCCCATCCAGAGAACAAAGGTGCCTGCTAGCGATATAAACCAGCGCATTATGTTATTCTTTTCTGTGTTTTGTCTCTAAAACCTGGCGCAGAAATCCTCAGCTTGAGTTTAAGCAGGACTGAACGATAACGACTTCGTTCCAAGATCAACGGTTGTATACTGAAAAGTAGTTTCAACAGAATCTTGACAACGCATGCATAAATTTTCATTTAGTTGTAATACAGCTCACATATAGACGGCGCGCCGCGCCGCGCATAGTTCAAAATTTAACAACAATACGCGCCAAGACGTATCAACGCCGCCAAACCCCACGCGTAACAAAAAATACTATCCGCTTCCTCTAGTCGTCTACGATAATACACAGCGGCAGAAATGGTGACCATTAAGGAAGACAACGGACAAGGGTCCCGGATACAATTATCGCAGAGATAGTCAAAGGCCAGTTTACTGCCTGCTTCGGTGGAGCGCAGTTACTCTTTGCCTCACCGTTTGGTTCTGCCATACCAGACTCAGTCGTCTTTCGTTGGGTAATGGCCCCGCAACGGAAAGGAGGCTAGCGCAAACTACCGCCGCCGCCGACAGTTGACGGAACTCTATGGTGACAAAATGAAAATTACGAAATCAACAAAGGACAAACGAAGAAGTTGCTATTCTAATAGTTTAAATTAAAAACTAACTTCACAAGTGAGCAAGATGGATTCCATTTATATGTTTTAGGATGACCTGTTTGTTAAAGCGGTTTAAGGCAAAGACTGAGCTTATATTACCTATCTTATACATATACTTATGTGACCAAGTCCAAGGGGCAGACACTGTTATACCAGACTGGCTTACGTGAACCTGAATTAGTGCTTCGTGCTAACCATGCTAATATAGAAAGACCTACTTGTCTTTTTTGCATCAATTTTGCAGCAACAAAGTTGCTTTAGGGTGTACATATGTATACATATATTAGTTCGATTAGGTTTTTTTTCTTTAGGAAAAGCAGTTTCCGGCCAATTTATCGGCATAGGCCAATCCAATTCCAAACCGTTTGCATGACATATTGGCTTCAATCAATCAACACCAGAGTCGACGTAGATAACGTTTCTTATAACCCGTTTAACTTAAGTTCTTTTATGCATAACGACGGTTTAAGGTTGCGCAAGACGAGGTCGCATAATTTGGTTGAAAAGATACCTTCAGTGCAAATGCTTCTAGATAGTCTTGTGCGTACACATTAATCAGGACACCACGGAAGTATTATTGCATATTATTTCACTTTATACCTTAACTATATGTATTAGCTTTAAAAGTTCAATCGACGGCACTGAGGCTTATTGGCATCAGTGCTGAATGCGTTCTAATGTATTTAAAATTAGGTTAAAAAAAATACAATAAAATTTAAAATTGATCTTGACGCGATAGAAGTACATGTTGCAGCTAAACAGGTCCTATATTGTATCCTGCAATATTATTATTAAGGTTATTGAAACTAATCATTTAGGTAATAGCATTGTTCGGACTGCTTTTTCCACTCTGCTTATCGTTTGGAGCCCTGCCATCTGCGTAGTGGGATTGTGCAAGTCATCATAGCGACTTGATAATAGCTTCAAAAATATAGGTTGTGCTGATGCACAATGCAATTATCGCCTCAAAGTGTAACTAGCATATATTAGACGATGAATGGATGATAGCACATACTATAGCATAAGTTTTCGTTAGATCTACATTAGTGCAACGAGGATGATATCCAGGAACGTAGCGGTCAAATCTGCATGGTGGACAAAAAGCCGGTTGCCCGCGGTTGTTTCAAATCATTGGCCCTCGCCAGCAGAAAGATGGCGGCGCCCATTCTGTTGGGTAAGTACACACGGTCCCCCTGTTGAGGCTAATAGCCGACATAGTTGCGCAAGGCTGCTGTTTCAGGTGAGGTCGTTAGTTGAATTCGGTGACTGCAATGGGTTGCAAGTAATCCAGTGCTCAGGTCGTGATCCAAGAACGCGTAACAAATACAATGTCATCATCTCCGTACGCCATGCGCATGGCGCATCTTTCTGCGCGCGTATTCGGAGAAGTTGCGCGGCCGACAAGCCGAAAGTCGCACCGAGTTATACAACTATTTAGTGAGAAGCCTTGGGATCTCCGTCACGTAAGTAATTTCTATTGATTCACTATATGAAATCAAATCGCTTTTCCAGCAAAGCGGCTTCCATTTAAGACATCGTCTCGAAAAGCGTGCAATTGTGCACCCACTAGTGCAAACCCACGCTAACTTTTTTCTACTCATTCCACTTAGTTATAATTAAAAATAAGTTGATAAATTCTGATGTCGAAACTTCTTGAAGAAATAATTTTTCAGATAAAAGTATCCGTAATATATTTAATAACATAATAATAAACGATATGTACCTTATTACACTTAATATTATTCATTATTGAATGAAATAATAATGTGGCGTTCAGTGTTATAGTTAGTACAATTACTGAAAAGCCGATTATTATAACCTTTGCTTTGATTAGTTTCTAAATGTTTATATACCTCTTCGATGCTTTCTATCCACAGAACCAAACTGATGGTTATTATCCACCACATCACGACTGGAGTGTTCTCATGTTTCGCCTGCGGATGCACGGCCTATACCGCGACGAGCATCTAGACTTTAAGGATGAAATGAAACGAATAAATATTTTACGAGGCAAAAGCCCGCCCAAGAAAGGAGAAGGAAGACGAACCAAGATTGCACAGTAGTAAAATAGTTATTGAACTCCATTCATCAGTCAGCATTCTGGTTAAAACAGTTGCCTGCCAGTGAGAACAGAATTACTTCAATTCATCATAAAAAGTATGAGCTAATGTAGCATAATATAATAGTTTATGATAATAAACCTATATCTCAAATTGTGTTTATATTATATGTATATATTAATTGTGAACTCATGTTTAATTTAACGAAGGCTTGGCTTTTTTATTAAGGGAACAAATACAATATTACAATCAGTTCGAGTATAACAGTCAGTTACTATGGGGTCGTTAATGTCATTTTCATTTGTCTCCGCCGGTGTTGGGTCTAGTACTACCTGTGCTCAAAATGTATGAATTAATTTGTGGATGTGGACTTATTTTAGTTATAGTATCATTGACAGATGTTCATTCGGTAAAGTCTTAAAGCATTTATTATTATTATTAATCATAAAAATAATTAAAGTCATATATATGGTATTGAGAATTGAAATTATTAGTGGGGTGTATTAACAATTATAATGTCTCGACACGATCGTGTAGTTTAAGTACTTAAAAAACATTTACCTAAAAAGCATACGCTGTGATCTATAAGGGTACGATTGTTTAATTTTTCTAGATATATTGGCGAAGCGTGATTTGGCTCTTTTGTCAACAGTTCTGGAAAATCCGCTACTTTTAACTGTACGATCTACCATATGATTCAGTCTATGGTACGGTGTTGTAATGTTGCCGGTTCATTGTCCACTTTAGTACCCTTAGGTCATCAACCTGTCTTCTTTCGTTTGTCTTGTAGGCGATCTTGGCCCCACTTACCTTATGTATCTGAGGCATTTTCTAATATTTTCAGTAACTATTAATCGATATTTAACTATAGTAACCATTTACCTTGACAGTTCAATCGATATCGTATATCTTGAGAATTAGGGCTAGAAATCTAAACGCTGAATCCGTTTGGCTGCTAGGACTCTGTATTTATAGGACATTCTATGGATGTCAAAAACATGCTATGCAGCCCTAAAAGGTTTTGTTCACTATAAGGCCATGCGGTCCAGTTTATTTAAAAACTATTTAAAATATATGTTTCTCATACGCTAGCAATACTGTGAAACCTCTGGAGTAGCAAGTATGCTCCCACTAAGTTAAATGCTATATATATGTCTTTGGAAAACACAAATATGTAGATTTTGATTATTCTATATATGCAGGCTTAGCTTTACAGGGGCACTCTACACTGAAAAGCTCATCCAAGAGAAACCTATTATCATGTTCAAAGCTAACGGATACATATGTGTTCGATTACTAGCTGTGGTTTGTGGTGCGCGTGTCAAGTAAGCAATAGGTAAAAAAAGTGGTGAGCCGCGCCATTATGCGCATGTGCGGTGCAATTCTCTATAATCGGCCGCTCGGTAGACAATGACGAGTGGGTGCAGTCACTCGGGTAGAATCATAAGCTCTACCCCAAACTGTCAATCGTTACTGATTTCTCTCAAGCTTTTACCGATACAGTCGTTATTCAGCCCTCATCATATATACCATATATTCCATTGTTAAGAGTGAGAGAACCTATAATCGATACGTCGCATTGCGATCAGGACCGATTCTAATTATAAGCATACGGGTAGGTAATGCACTGATTTTAGCTCTGGTGCAATATCACAATTCAAGTATCTGACCAGATGGGTAGCTTATTATATACAATTTGTGAAAGGACTTTACTGCCATTGAATTCATACGGAAATTCTTCATTCATATTTCAAGATCATACAAAAATGAAATACAAAAATGAATTAGGTGAAATAAAGACAATTTAATGTTTAGTTAAACGTATTCAACTTCGAATCAGAGAATATATTTTCTTTTTTGTCAACTTTAAACTTCCTAAAAATTCATACGAACGTCTCTCATCATAGGTAAATTGTCTGTGCACTGTGTTTTCCCTAGTACGCTATCACTTTTTCATCATCAAGTTTAAACTGAGCTTAGGTCGTCTACCGCGAGACCTGTATCATAAATTCATAGCAGATCGCATGGATACTACGACTTCATTTAGACTGATGCAATAAAAGGCTTCTAATAAAATTCGTAAAGAAACAAGTAAAGCCGTATAACTTAGTAGAATAATAAAAAAGAAAGAAAATCTCTCATGAAATACTGCTGAATCTACAAACGTGTCACTGAAAGCATAAAAACTGAATAGGTCGGAATAATGTCTCTAAACATATAATGGTCAATATGTCAATAATCATATATATTACAAAGACTATGTTTGATATGTTACATTTCTGAGAAAATAAAGGCTAAAGTGGATCAACAGATTAGATTTACCACTGATATTCTTTGCCGGGTGCGAATTTTAAACATTAGGCCCTAATTTTACTTTTTGGCTTCCATTTGAGTATAGTATCCCTTTAGTATAGTAAGGAAGAATCTCAGTAAATGCTATGATTGAAGTACTTAGCCATTTAAGTATTGTATTTTTATAGATATAATTTTCAATTGATCTCTCAGCAACCACAGGTTCAGCACCATCTGTGCTCGACAATATCGACAAAATTTTCTCCCGTTGAATTAGAACGTATATTTGATGCGCCTGAATGTCTTCCAGATATATTTATATATAGTGTAACGAAAGAAGGATTATCGTTGTTCAGCCTGTGTTTATTTGAGTGGATATTATATATAACTGTGAACTCGCAATCTTTAAGGTTTCCGCAGCTTTCTCTAACCATTGATAAAAGCAGTCGCGATTCGTAAACTATATTCAGTCGACAAAAATGAGCTTTTTGTGTTGTCACCCTCTTCTAACCAAACTAGTTATGAACCGTAAGCAATATTTAATTCCATAACTTATACGACATTGTCTTCGGGCCCGCCGAGAAAATCAGGTTAAATGTTGGCGCCGTCTCCATTTTTCACCAATGATTGACTTGATACTGTCGTCTGCAATCGTGGGTCAGTCTATTTGGTAAACAAATCGCCATCTTGCTGAGTGTGGACATTTTATTTGTTTGTGTGTTGTGTGTGCTGAGAGATTCGAGAAAAGCTGCTGGGCTTCCTACCTGCGTGGTATAGCCTAGTAGTAGCAGTACAGTGCCACTATTGGGCCTGTCGAGAAAGTCGCTCTCGCTGCAGTTGCAGGTTAACTGATTGTCCCGGTGTGGCCGTCGGCGCTTCTGTGCGTCGCCTCTTGTGCCCCGTGGACTGTTATCTGTGCTCAGTGCGACGGTGTTCTAACCAGAAGGGACACGGCCAGACTACCAAACGGGCTGCATCTTGCTGCCTTAAGCTTACACTGGCAATCGTCATAGTAAATTGGGCTAAAAGCAGCTTAAGTGTTCTGTGTGGTGTTGTTGGATGTGCTATAGGCCATTCGTTCACGCCCGAGATCTACCAGCTGCTTAGTTAGTGAGTAGCGGTTGTAGAGTACGACAGGATCAAAACAGAAAGCCTCTGAAGGCCTGACGATTGCGCTGCGGGGCTCACCGTCCATTCGACAGCTCAAGAAATGGTTCGGACCTCTATGTTTTCTGCGGGTGAGTTTCCGGGTGAGACGAGCGTTGGCCTGAGTAATTTATCGGACCTGGTGCCTAGAAATTTTATAGAAGAGGGGTAAATGCGGAAGTTCCTTGGCATTGGCAAGAGTAGTCTTCTTCTGCCGGGGCCCTTTCAATAGGAATCGAGGGACCTCCATCGCTCCTAGCGGGGTTAATGACCAGTTGGTTGTGCGCCTCTGCTTTGGGCTACCGACAAAGCGATGACTGACGGCCGACCGAAAAAACTGAATGGAGTTTTCAACAACGAACATTAATCTCTTAATTTTACGATGCATAATATACGTCTTGGTAGATATTTCTCCATTAATAGTATTACGGGTCTGTATAAAGTGAGAGATGTGAGATTTGGCAGTAGTCAATGTCACTTCGAGTTACTTTACTAAAGGAGACAAAGGCTAACTATAGTAGCATGGATGGTGCATTAAATTGGTATTCCAAACGGAAAAAAAGTAGGTGAAATTTGCGGTTTCAAATGAGGTCGGTCGACGTTCAACTGAGTTTTCCTTATCTTTTTCCGGGGGGCGGGGCGGGGGAAGTAAAGCATGAGAGCCCGGTAGAATGCTAGCCGATAATAATGATCGCTTCTGTGTGCTCGCAGCTGGTGGTGGTTGACTGATCGTATTCTTGACAGGATCGGCGATATATATATGTATATATGTGTGTAGTGTGTTTGAAGTAAGGGACGACAATTATAACTGTGTATTGCTACGTGGACCGCCGGTGTCAACGACGTTTAGATTTCACGAAATAGTTGTACATGTTTGTGTCTTATTATACTATGTCTGTATTTATTTTTGTGTATCGCACTGGATCCTAAGAAAGTTACCTACAGCAAAGGATCGACTGTACGCAATAACATTGTTATATGTTCTTGTTATTGTTTCTTCGATGACGACATACTGTATGTACACATGTGATGATCTAGTTCATTCAACGTCTACCTCCTTTGTTAAGCAGCCTTCTTAAATTGTATCATTTATAAGGCTTACGTGAACACAAGTGCTTTATTTTTGTGAGTCGGCTTTTAAAATAGAAAATCATGAGATATTTTCAAGAAAATATTGACAGCCATTGCGTCCTAGCTGTCTATATATTTCGATTTTTGTTTATATTGTTGTAAAAATTGTTTCGTATATCGGCTTTTAATGTACAAACGGGAACTACGACCAACACTCTGTTCTAACACTGAAATAAGGACAAGCGGCTTGGTTTCACTTTCTGTATTTTTGAAAAGCCATGCTTACGGATCAATGCAAACTCCCCTGGTGAGATATCGAAAAGGAATTTGAAGCGATATCTTCTTGTTTCTCACAACGGTCGTTGTTGTTTAGATCAACGGGGGTGGAGGCCTCCTGCCCTTTCGATGTGTCGACTATGACCTGATATCAACCCGTTATAATCTGTACCATACACGATTCTAGCATGATGCCCCTTCCTTAATTGGAATTAATAGTCGTTGAGTTGCTTATTTCTATTCAGTCGGGTGTCTCGTTTTGCTGGAGCAATATTAGGTACTCATGATAATAATTGTTGTTATTTATTAGACCAGTGTTGAGTTACTGGTACATTTAACAGTAGAGCTCATCTTTAGGATGAGCTTGTACCGAATTATTATGTTAAAGCAAAAATATTACTGCGGAATTTTATCACGAAGGAACTTTTGAAAATAGCCGCCTTAGTTTTCTATGAAGCACTCGAATTTGGTGTTTGAATGACCCAATTGAAATATGAAATTTGTTAAAACAGCCTAATGTGCTAGACTGAACCTACCACCATCAAATGGGACAAACTGAGCAGATAAAATCGGCTTTAAAATATTTTGTTATACGCCATAGTCCGCTAGTAAGCGGTTGTTGTTTTATATTATTTAAATTCAGTTTAAAAAACATACATTATTCTCTTATTAAGTAAAATTTTCAGTTACCCTTCGGTTTATACAACTTGTGTCTTTAAATAATAGTTAATATGGATGGCTCGTAACAATGTAATAGATTTACCAGTGACTTCGGTGCTATTCTTAACAATAACGATTAAGTTAGCTGCGTTTGGGACATCCTACACAAAAGCATGTTATTGCAGTACATTCTTAGTTGATTTACAACGCTGATGGCTCGAACGTCACTCACTTGTTAAAAATCCGGAAATCTTTGTAAAAATTTCAAAACGGATTTTCGTAATGTTAAAAATATTCGAAGCGCGTAACTATTTTTACGTTGATCAAAAAAATATGACTTTGCATGCCAAAGAGGAAACTCCTTTCGTTGTCGGGTACTTTGCAGACTTTTTAATAAAAAACTGTTTTTGTTAGATTTGAATTACGTGAATGTACTCCTTCGAAGAACCCACTTGCCTTTGTCAGCACCAGTTCATTAGTTCAATTTCACCATTGTGTAACTTGGACATTATTGAGTCTAGTCAGTAAGATTTAGCCTTGTACTCCAATCACTGTCAAGATATGATGGTTCGCACATTCATGAACGTACTGATCAGTCTGCTACATGCTCTTGAAATATGCGTCGCATTTTTAATATACTTCTTAAGTAATATTTAGTATTCTTTAATGAGCTGCTAAATTGGATGTCAAAAAAATTTCCGGACATATAAATCAGCCACCTATAACACCTTTTCAGTTAGCAGTTTCGGATGTTAACCTTTCCAGAAACAAGACAAGACACCATCTTGGCTACTAAATTAAGCAAATATCTTCGTTCAAGCGTTTATGGAATCTGCGTATAAAACTTGGCTTTAACAAGTTTCAGTTAGCACAAAAGAACATGGAGTTTTTTTGAACGGGAATACGAATAAAAGATATTACTGTTTTGTAACATTAAAGCACTATTCACGAATCATGCTCAACCAGGATCGCATTAACCGTTTTGAAAGTTAAACGTAAATGCATAAAAAGTTTAACTTGTAAAATCGCTATTTTGCCGTTTTGCCCTATATATAAGGAAAAAAATCAATGAATCTATATATAAATAAAAAGATCACGCGAACTTTGCGACATAATTAAAGATTTTATCTTCCCATATCCATCTTCCTTAAATCGCCTTTTGGAACTCTGGACAGTTTTCTAAACTGTCTCATATATGAAGATATTGCTTGCATTCGAAGCAAGAGTCCCAGAAATCGTTTGCACCAGGATCTATTTACGAAAGATCATTCTCACTAAAGTTTATTACCCGTGGTGTCAGATATATTACATCAGAAAATAAAGTATTTAATCCTAATACAAGCATATAGCTGTCCACGATATTTCCTACGTACAATACTCATCATTAATCGTATGGACGAAAATGTTCTCTACCCACAGCTGCAGTCTTAAAGATCTCCACGTTCGCACCGGTGTCGTCGCGCCCTGCGTTCGAGATGAGCTCTATCGTAGAGGTGGGCTGGGGGCGGTGAGCCGCCAACGAAGGCGGCCATTTGACCATTTGACTACCGCTGCAGGATGGCGACCCCGCCATGGATGGAGGGTGTACCTGGCGGCCCTCCCTTGCAGCAACAGCAAGCGACCATGGCCCCGCAACAGCAACAGGGGCCTCCGCAGTCATCGGGGCTGTCAGCCCTAGAACGTATGTGTACTAAATAGAACGTTCATTCGAAGAATAGGTATCATTGTAGTAGTTTGGTTAGAAATAACTTAAGGTGACCCGTATATGTTATACAATATTCATAACTGATTATTACTTAAATTAAGGCAAGTGTATAAAAAATGGTTACAAATCATTTAAGTTTTTTTAAATGGCGAACGTGTGCTCTTTGCTTACATATCGTTCTTATTACTTATAAATCGAAGACTTTTTTGCTTTTGACGATTGAAAAGGTATGTTAGACAATGCTCCGAAACCCCCAGGCACAGGTCCCGCAGACCCGTACGGACACCAATGGGGTCCAGGGACCTCTCAGGGTTCCATATCCGGTTACCAGACCTCAACTCAAGGGGGTCCCGGCGGATGGTACCAACCGCCGGGGCCCCTTCCAGGGGAGTATCCGTACTCAGCAGCAGGGGATCCCAATATGCCTTCACAGTCATTCGGACCCCCACCTCCACAACAGGCTCAGCAGGACCAGAGGGTAAAATTAGAAACTGGTTACTAGAATCATGAACGCCATGTTTGCTTTTCTGGCATGTTTTACATGATAGTAGTATCATGTCATACCAATTTAGCTAAGAACGGCACCTATCGGAATAAAGTCCAAATTTTGGACAACATAGTTTACATTGCTTCACGAGGTACCATTTTCTGTTAATACCAACCCTACATGTTTTATCTCTAATGATAAATACTTACTGTGTTTTACACATTTTAGTACCCTCCACCTGATATTCAGCAGCCAGTAGGAGGGCCTCCTCCTATGAGTCAACAGGATCTTGGTGGTTATTATTCATCGCAGAATGCTAACGCTGGCATAGGGCCGGGTGATCAATGGTGGGGGTACCCACCGGATGGCCAGGGAAGTTTAGGTCCTCCCACACCTTCTCCTAGTGGGCGACAATACGACCAATATCCGCCCCCATCACAGAGTTACTATCCGGCTGATTCGGGCTACGGGCCAACGCAACCGCCTCACTCGCAGGTGAACATGTATAATCCGAACATTCCACCAGCGAACGCCTTCAACGGCGCTCCCGGAAGTTTGGGATCTCAGGGTGGAAACCAGTACGCTCCTCCGCCACCTCCACAGCAGTTTGATCAATTCGTTGGAGGCAGTGGGTATTCACAAGCCCCACAGCATGGTCCTCCACCACCCGCAGGAAGTTACTTTGATCAGAGCTATTGCGAAACAACGCCCTATGGACCGGTCAAGAATGAACCTCTACCGCCTTCGCCCTACCCGAGCAGTCCGAGCCTAAATCGAGGCTCAGTTCCGCCTCCGTCAACGGGTCAGGGGTCCGTACAGGGTCAACAGCAGCCACAAATGTTTTCCCCATATGGTGGCCAACAAGGCTATCCACCGACACCTACACCACCCCAAGCAGGTTTACCGCCCCCACCTCAGCAGCAGTACCCGCCAATGAGCTCTGCACAGCAGGGACCTCCTCCACAAGCGGGCTCATCACCTGCCGAGACCAAAAAGCCTAGGAGGAGAACTAAGAAAGGTACCTTTAAAGGTGGGGAGTTTCATTTTTATATGGATCGTTAATGTCGAGCTTAGATCGAACATGTCGCATGAACTTGTTGTTTCCTTAATTACAGAGAGTATTTCTTAATTATGTTTCTGCAAACACATTATCTTGCTCATTATATTTCATATGGTACGTTTTTATTATAAATTGGACAGCGCAGTTATATATATATATATAACTGCACTGCCCAATGTTAATCTACGTAATATTGTATCCAATGTAATCTATATA